TATATCTAAATATAATATTAATAAAGAGGGCTACCTATACTTCTACTCCTAAAGATGGGTTCTAGACTTAGAACCCTTATATATAAAACTTATTATAATGGCTTACTACTTACTAGCTTTAGGACACTTAGGACGCGAGAACACGTATAAAATACTAGCGAGGGACTACTTCTTCCCTAGGATGTTAAACAATGTCTATTAGTATATTAAGAACTATAATGTCTGCGGTAGGACTAAGCCCTAGAGGGAGGTAAAAAAAAATTTACTAAAACTCTTACCCCTACCTAAGTAAGGTTGGAAAGACATTATAATAGACTTTATTACTACCCTACCCCCTAGTAAAGGCTATACGAATATTATAGTTATAGTAGATAGGCTAAATAAGAACCTAAAGTTTATTAGTCTTCCTAACCTCTAGGTATTAATGGTTACTATAGCCTTCCTCTAGCACTAGGTCACTAACCACTTCCTCCCTAATACTATTACCTTGGACCGCAGAGCACAGTTCATAAGTGAATTTTAGATAGAATTATATTGCCTATTAGGTATTAACTGGAAATTATCAACCACAAAGCACCTAGAAACTAACAGCTAGATAGAGAGAATAAACTTAGTCCTTAAAGCTTACCTCTAGGCCTACTATAACTAGTAGTAAGATGATTAGATAAGATGGCTACTAATAGCCTAGATTACGATTAAAGGGAGGGAGGCCACCACTACTAGTATAAGTCCCTTCTTCCTCTCCTACGGCTAGAATGTGGACCTAGTAGAGTAGTTTAAGCACTAAAGGACTACTATAGAACTAGCTACTAATCTAAAACACGCCGTAGAAGTAATAACGTAGAAGTTTAAGGAGGTGTTTAACTTCGCCTAGGTATAGATAGCGGCGGCATAGTAGGACCTAGAAAGGATAGTAAATAAATACTATAGGAAGGTACTAATCCTTTAAGTAGGTGATAGAGTTTGGCTAAAATATAGGGACTACCTAAGAAACGCCTAACCTAGCAAGAAGCTAGATTAGAAGAATGGGAAATTTATAGTTAAGAAGGTTATAAACTCCTATATAGTAGAACTAAACGTCCTACTAAATATATACCCTAGATTCCACGTAGACTAACTAAAGCGGGCCCCTAAAGACCTACTTCCTAGCCAAGTTATAGACGACACCTAACCTAGGGCTATAGTTACTAAGGAAGGCGAAGAGGAATACAGCATAGTAGATATCTATAAAGAATAACGTATACGCTAGGGTAAGAAGTTAAAATATCTAGTATAATAGGAGAACTACTTCTAGTGCATATAGGAGCCTCATGTAAACCTAAATTAAGTGTTAGCCCTTAACCACTAGGAGAAGTTCATGGAATAGTATAGGAAACGCGATGGAAGCCTACTAATAGAATTCTACTATAATATCCTATAGATCCACTTCTATTAGAGGCCGCCTTAATGGTGCCTCCCTTCCTTAATGAACTCGAGGATGTATCACTAACCAAGAAGGGAGGGTAGAGTGGGTAAAGGAATATTACCTACCTATAGAACCATGCTTTAGAGCCATGAATCTAAAAGGAGCGTAAGGAACGAAGTAAGGAGAGTTACTAAAGGCGTATAGAATAGATATGGAATAGATAGAACCCCCCCCTAGAAGAAGCTAGGAATGGTGAGGGGGTTATAAGGAATATAGGAGAGGTGGAGATAGTAATCTATAAAGAAGGAGTAAACTATAGTAAAAGAAGCTTAGAAGTGAGTAGAGAGGTAATAAAAGTACACTAGAATACTAGTAGAATAAAGAAAGAGGGTAGAAGTTAAGAAGAAGAGAAGAG